ATTCCGAGGTAAATCAATGAACCAAAAACCCATTTCCTTCATCTGACCTGTGCTCGCACCCATATATTTGAAAGTTTTATTCAATAATTCAATTCCATTGAGCATTGCGCTTTTCAATCTATATTTGATATTTGAACTGGAAACACGTAATCGTCGATTATCTTCGTCACGAAAATGTACGAGGAGAAATCGTTCTGCGCCACCAAATCTACATAAAAATGATTAGTCTTAATATCAATGAAAAAAAAACGAGTGATTCAATAAATTTACTGAGGATTTCTTAAAGCTCGACTTCCAGTTGTAACTTCAAGTGGTTGAAATATAATTTTTAGTGGTGTTAATGTACAAACAGCAACTTTAAGTCGCTGTTTATTTTCAACTAATATTGCTTGCTCATCCATATTAACGTCTGCTTCGCGAGCTTTTCTTCTCGTTTCATTATAATCTCTGGCAGTTCGCGATAAATCATATCCATGATCGTTCTTTAATTGTTCCAGCGTATAACAACATAAAGTATAACGGTCGTCGACATTCCATCTATTCCAGTTCAGTTCTTGATCAGTCAATTGTGCCCATTTATCTCGAAATACAAATCCAAGTGAAATAAGCATTTGTAACGCATAACGATCTTGAAATGATGCATTTCTATAACTAAACGGATCAGGTCTTTGATTTTTATTAAACTCTTTTAACCAGTCCGATATTTTGAAAGTAGAAAAATTTATGTGATATCGCCCAGGACGATCGATTGGAAAACAAGAAAGAAACGCCCAAGCTCTTTCTTTTGGTGGTTCAAAATATAAAACCAAATCAGAACATTGTGAAATATCTTTGATAAAGTCAACATTTCGTTCATCACTACACAGTCTAAAAGAAATGGAAAAAATAATTAAGTAACAAAAAAAACGATACTCTAAATGGAATAAATCTTACCGAACTGGTTTCTTATTTGAATTTTTAGTAGTTTTATCTTCATCTTTGATTGGTTCCATTCGATAAACATTCGGTGAATATTTAAGTGGAAGTAGAACATAGATTCCATTTTCTGCGTTGTCTTTGTTAACTAAAATATTCTTTTTCTGAATTGAAACAAATGGAATAACAATACGTTTATCGTCGAATTCAATATGCAGGGTATCTGGTATGAACGAAAGTTGAACAACTTGACCATTGAATGAAACATGAGAATAAAATTGGTTGTATGATCGAAGTGAACCAAACTGACATGATGCAGAAAATGTTGTTCCTTGCTGATGAACATCAGTCGTAGTTGCTACTAATGAACGTGGCCTAAGTGAATCAAGAGGATTCGAAAGAATATTAAACCAAACAGGTGACTTTTCATTCGGTAGCACTTGTGCAAGTTGATCACGAACTTTATTAGCCTCGTCACGTGTCAATGTAAATGTAATTGTACCATTTCCATCTTCACCGCAATTACTTATACCTTTCCTATCGAATTTTTTCGGCCGTACAAAACTAATATAGAATGAGTATTTTTAAATAGAAAAAAAAACAGATAATAATACATACGTTTCGATATTAGAAGCAAGTTGTTCTCCAGCTCTCTTCGACGGTATATGTTTCAACTGACAGAATACCGGGTCACTCATATCTGTAAAAAAAACTATTTTATTAAAAAAACTAAACAAAATCAAGTATTGGAGGATGTGAGGATTTTTTATACGCGACGCATGAATATCTATGAAGAGGTTTGGAATGTGACGACAAGCGCATTGTTGTAGATGGAAAAAGTCAATTGCGCCCTCTTTATGCAGTGAGTATCCCCACTAGTATGCTTATAAATACAAAGAAAAAGAAAAACATTGATTTTTATATGCTACATCTCGATTTTTTATGTGACGCACAAAGAAAAAATCCAACACAAACATCGACACTTCGTATGTATTACTACCGTTCTCTTTTTCTTTTCTTTGCTTAATAACACATCGTGCATACTGCAAAAGAGCTGCTCATGTTTTCAATTTTTTCAGAACACAAGAAAAAGAAGAAATCACACGAAAACAATATGGACTACTTAAGCCATCTCTACCAATACTTTTTTTTGTATTATAGTTCTCATATTCGAAAAACAAAGCGCACCCACCCTCAAAAATATGTTACAGAGCGTAGTTTAATTTCTTCTATTACTGTTACAAGCAATTGTGCAACTGGGAAAAAATGTTTTCAAAGATAGCAAACTGTTGTAATATGATACCTGACGAAGAGAACTATAGTAGGAAAGTTTTTTTTTTCTATATACCAAATATTTCAGTATCGAAGGCCAGAAAAGACGGTGATAACAATGAAATACACAAGTTGCAAAGATATTAAAGTAACATCGAATACGACATCTGTTCGCATCATTCAGAATGAGTAGAGCAAATAACAAAAAAACAGCATTCTATATTTAAGAAATAGGCGCTACAGTTGCACACTAAGTTTGTTATGATCGTATATATCTATGATTATAATATTACAACACATATGACCTGCTTCCTTAATACTTGAATAAATTGTAAGGAATAAATGTTTAAAGAATTAAATATCTATAAGAATAAATATCCTTCACCTAAACCTATAGAAATAAGCGAAGATAATTTTTTTTCTTGAGACATATTATCAGTAAACCACTTTTTTGTGTACTCAAAAAGTGAGTACACTATAGAATCGATCAGTATGTCCGTCCGTCCGTCCGTCCGTTAATCCGATAACTCCTGAAAGAATAATCCAATTTTCATGAAATTTAGTACATAGCCGTATATTGTCAATGTCGCAGACGAGTTCGATGATGAGCCCGATCGACTGTAATACTTCTAACTTAGAAAAAAATTCTCAGATTTTTGTGTGCCATCTGATACACTTTTTGAAGTACACACAACTTTCGGATAAAGTCCGAAGTTTTCGCATTTATTTATTATTAATGCTACTAACTTTGATGAGTGTCCATATTCAACAGCTTCCCTGGACTATAAGCGAACTTCGCTTCTGTAGCCTCAAAAAAACCATTTAGACGTACGAAGAGAAAATAGAACATTGCACGCTGTAGAGAAACAAGGAGGCATGCATCGTCCATAGAGAAATACATGCGAGAGAGAGAGAGAGAGAAAACCAATAACTTGACTGTTAGACTAGAGAGGAAAGTGGAGAACGGTAGAAGAGAAGGAAAGCGAGAGATAGTCGAAAATTCACCATTATTTTGTTTATCGAAAACTTGGAGTCAGCAACACGTCACAGTAGTAAGCGGAATTATTAGTTGTGATAAGCCAAGACGTGATCAAGGAGAATCATCTGGTTGTCTCGTTAATTTCCGCATGTATTTCCGAATTCGACCTCTTCCAAAAATTGCTCTTCTTTGTTGTATCAACACAGGATTGTTTACGTACTCTTTGAAATATTCTATCGTCAGTTTGTGTTGTAAGTAGTCCTGGATTATGTCGGGATTTGTACGGAAGATCGTTTCTTTTAGTTTACTCCAGTGCGTTGACGTTAAGTCGACCAGTGATCGATATTTGTCTATATTTGAAATTTCTATGTTCCTGGCATCATGCCAGTTATAGATAATTCTGAATATCTTTCGATTTAGACCTTCAATTGCTCTTTTTTGCCTATTGATAGCATTGGATAAATATTTAACAATGATTGATAGTATGGTCGAATGTACGCGTTGTAGAGTCTGGAGTTGACACTTTCGCTTGTCATTCTTGTCGATGGAAGACGTTTGAAAATCTTCAGATTTGCATTTATTTTTGATTTGATACAACCCATGTCGTACGTTCTGGCGTCCGGATCCCGTAGAAAAGCACTGGAAATCATCGCAAAAAAATCCCGAAATTTCCGGTCCGAATACTGCTTCCATGTTCCAGTGATCTCCGGTGCTTTTCTACGGATTGAACGACAGTTTTTCGTCGAGAATAGTGCCAAAATATTTAAATCTATTTACTCGATCGATACGATGACCTTGACAGACGACCACTGGAACCTTTGGAGCAACTTGTCTATTGAATAACATCCAGTAGGTTTTTTTAAGTTGATCGGCTGCTTCCAGGTCTTAGAGTAGTCGATTAGTCATCGGCTTATATCTCTAGTTTTCTATAACAAAATGCTAGGAAAGAAATGACAACGATTTGTTGTTTAGAAGTACAATCTGTGGAATCAAAAAGAAATTGTTCCCTTTTCTGAAAGAAAGGGTTATACAGCGGTTAAATACTGGGCTCAAAATGCTTAAAGTTTGTCTGTCTGTCATTCTGTCTGTCCAAGCCAATCAGATTGCAGCATTCAATAAATCAGNATTAGTACCCAGAAAGCGCGAGAAACGTTCATGACTACAAATTCGAATGATAATTCAACAAGTAAAGACGAGAATCATCATGCAATTGAGCAGAAATCGAGCATAAACCCGAAGCCACACAAAAAATATCCATCTCAAAGGGAACAAGTATCGACACATGTTGAACAAACGAAGAGTGCTCGGGGACGTCATCCAAAGACTTCGTCATCAAGTGCAAGATCTAAAAACAATTCTGATGGTGTTCATCATGTACAGAGTTTATTCGAGCATGTCGGAATGGGTTGTTTTCCAGAAGCGAACTCTGATCCACTCGAAGTTGCCTTTGGATTACGTCCAACAGGGAAACAACATCGAAAAGATTCATCTTTCATCGACTCATCGTCAGAGCATCATGCCTTTGGCGACTGGTTACCTTTCATGTAATGTCTGGTTCATTTTACTAGCTAGTTTTTAATGATGAACAGCACTATACATAAAACTTAATAATTAAATTATCAGATTATAAGCGTATGCTCTCAAATGAAGCTTGTTTTGCTTGTGAAGAAGAAAACTTACCTAACTTTTTTGCTACTAACATATAAATGGAATAGCGTGAGAGTAACAACTGAATGAAGAATAAAATATGTATAAGACATTGTGTTCACTACTCATACGCTATCTGAGAAACATAAATAAAGTGCGATGTAAGTAGATACAATGTTTATAATTATTATAAGTAGATGATGAAAAAAGAAGCATGAACTCAATGAATCTTATATGAATCGACTTTTCCTCACTTCGGTCTATCTTGAGAGTGAAAAGTCAACTACGGTAGCTTGAATCATCAAAAATTTACTCGAAGAATGAGAGTGAGTTTATTATATGCATAGGGCCACTTTTTTAAATCTGGCAACTAGGTGATTTTGTAGAGATCAATGAGTTACATCGACGTATATGGTTTTTAGAGTGGATCTGCTTCATTTCTTCCTAACGATAGGGTCGACGCAGGGTGAAAATCGCGCATTTTTTCAGCTAACAAACGAAGCGATATCTATATATATTGGTCCTGGAGGATTGTTCAATTCCTTCATTTTTGAGTTCAGCGGGTTGAATTTGACGGGATTGGATTCATCAGGGAGAGTTTTGAGGGGGCAGGCGATTTCACCTCTTAGGCGCTCTTCCTTTGAATAGTCAATTCAACTAGGTGTGATGCAAAAATTAGTCTATAATCGGCGTAATCAGCGTGACGACACTCCAGTTTGTCAAATTGTAACATCTATATCTCCCAGTTAATAAATACTAACTTCTTGACATCTTTACTGTATATAGAGACAAACTAGTTCTACTACATGGTATAAACGTCATGTATTCTCCTATATTCAAAGCGAAGCTATTCGAAAAATATCATCCGTTACGAAATCTCTTAAATGTAAATTTTTTTAAGGGTTCGATGAAAACATCACATTTTACTCTAAACTGAAGCGGCGGGTAGATAAGCGCTCTGCATACAAGTTGCTTGACTCTGAACAAGCTTGTCAACTGTAGAGACATTCGTTCCTATGAGTATCTATATACCATAGAAAAGAGAGAAAACTGTCCGTCATGGAGGTTCGCCTTTTTCATAGCAAAATAGATTTCAGACTAGAATAAAAGACAAAGACAACGGGAAAAGCATATAAATATCTCTAGTATTAATTCTGAATCATAAACTATGAGTTTTACAGCGATACAGTAAAATTTATTTCTTAACCTTTTTGGCTTCCAAAAATTTTCCAGAAAAACTCAACTTTAAATTTTTGAAAAACTAAATAGTACATTTTGTTCAGAATTCAATACTGATCTCAAATGTTACAAAATATATGGATTTTTATGAGTAAGAATAGTCTAGAAACACTCGATAGTCTTAAAATAGTAGTTTATGAAGATATCAACGAAATTCCATAACGAAGTATCTTTTTAAAAATTACATGAAAATTCCAATTCATATCGAACGAAAGTGATAGAACTTTCCAACAACTATCTGACTGTGAGGTTTTTGAAATATTGATAATCAATGCGAGCTAACAGGACACATTAGAAACTGACTTAGTTACGGAATTTCTTGAAAAATGAGTATAGTTTTTCTATCGATGCACGAGCTATCTGATAATTAGAATTTTCTATTAAGGTCGCGTTCTTGAAGAGCAAGTAAAACTGCATCTATTAGTACTAAATTTGAATCAATGAAATCTATTTATCAGTACCTAATAACAATTTCTTTGTAGTGTCCTAAATATCTTAATTTACTAACATGTCGTTGAAGGAGAAAAGAACTTTAGTCCTAAGGTCATTGACGTATTGATACAAACATGTATGATCTTCATTAATTATCGAATACTTACTATGATACAAACGAAGATGCATCTTTGTGAAATTAATAATCGATATAAAGATTGATATTATCATGAAATTATCCAGTGAATACATTTTACAATGTTATCAGTGCGAATTTTTAGACTATATTAAAATTATTCAATAAATCATAAAAAATATGTATCTCAAATAAAAGAATATATATTGGAATCTATCATACATTTTTATGTGTTATGATTATTTTCTTTTATCTTAGCTACTACTGCCAACAAGTGTAATATTTAACAATCGATTTGAAAATCATTGTAGTCTAAAGCAACTATACTTCAAATATATCAAAAAAAACGTCAGCATAGTCAATTACAAATAAATGTGATTTTTTTATAATGAATAATGAAAAATGTAATAATTCTTTGTGTTAAACGTACCTGGAAGCATATTGTCATCAGATTGGAAAACGTATTTTCTTGTCGAAGATTCTTTTTTATAACAAATACCCCAGATTAAATGGATTTCTTCATTCCTTTTCTTTGAATGTTTTGTTTATAGTTTGATTCTTGTCTGAATTTTTCCTCATAAGATAGTTCATCGGATTCTTTTCAAGACCGAATGACTTCACTTCTTCTAGTTAATATGATATAAAATTTCGTTCTAATATAATGTGTTCTATGTTTTCAAGTATTCCCTTTCAAATCAGTTGTAGAAAAAGAGATTTGAATATACTTCTTCAAGTATCGTGGTAAACTTCTGAAGGCGTGCCAGAAAATCAATTCGAAAGGTAATGAAGTGAGAAGGAAAAAAATGATTTTCCATTTGTGAAATCAAATCAGAGACGTTCTTCTGCACCAAACTAAGCTCTTTTTTTTTCAGATAATTCTGTGTTTGTGTAGTCAATGTTCAAAAATACATCAGCCAACCCAAATATCATCATACAGAAAATANAATCTGCTTAAAACCGGTAATCTAGTGTTGGTGAGGAAGTCGCACGCCATTTGAGAAAGCTGTAATGCTATGCACAATATCGAGCAGTCGGGAGTAGCGGACCGCAGGGACGCCGACGACCGACTGCGAGATGGATGGGTTCATACATTGTTTGAAATGAGTAGAATGAAAAAGGCATCAGTCGAGGGTTAAGCGAGTTGGCCTCGACGAGCGTTACTTGTTATTTATAGTTTCTATAATGGAATCTACATCCAATAGATCGAAATCGTGTTCCTGCGTCGAATACATTGCGGAAGCAAACACCTTTCACGGACAAGATCAAAAACAAACGATAATCACTCTAGATGAGCTATATAAATGCGTTCGAACTGACAATGCTACATTGTTCCTGGTTGATCTTGACACTTCTCCAAGTTACGACATATTTACCATTCTCTCCGAGATACGTTTATAGATATTACTGAAAAAAAAACTAGTAAACCACTTACTTTTGGAAGCAGATTTTCCAATGAAGATCGCGGTTATATCATTCTGCGGTTATTATTGTTTTTCTAAACTGCGGTGTAGATGTCAAAAACCGCGTAGTACCAATCTACGACCGCGGTTCATCAATCAAAAACTAAGTGTGTAAGGACTTAAAGGATGTCGCGCTCTGCTTTTTCGTAACTTTTCACACAAATTTTCTTGTGTGACTTTGTCATTCAAAATTGACATAGGAGTTCAATGGGACATGCAAAAGTTCCTACAGCGCTCTCGAAGGGTCCCCTCAAGAGTAGGGGTTGTCTGGGGAAAGTGATATTTTGAAGGTTATTGACGGTTTTTTCTTTTTTTTTCTTGTGCGCAGAAGTCGCGACTCGATTTGCATACACTGGAAAAAAATCAGCATAATAATCCACCCTTTCTGCGAGTTGACTATTATGCTGATATTTTTTCAATGTAGTGAGTTTTCCATTATAGACGAATATGTTTAAAAATTTGTCTCTATCCTCAAAGGATGCAGTAAAAGACGCTCTATTAGACAGTCTACGATCAATACTTCCTAATTCATCTGGTCAGAAATTTCGCTTATTTCCAATATATTTCTAGTCACTGGCTGGGATCGGATTCAATACGCCCGTTTCGACCCTGGAATTAGAAAAAATCTCTTTTTTTATCATTCTCCAATGCTTGTCTTTACTTTTTATGCTTTTACTTATTAGTTTGTAGTTATTGAGAGAATTGAACTTTTTTCCGTAAATTCTGTTGTTCTTTTTATTTAGCAATAAACATGACGCAATACCCACTGAATAAGATAAAGGTTGTCGTTTGAGGTTAACTGTGGCGAAAATATTAATGTCTCTGGACTACTTGAGTATTAATAGAGAGAAAACGTTTCTTGTTTATTTATTAAATCAATCTCTAGAATACCAATTCGTAAGTTATGAATTGATCATACTACCTATGGTTGTTGATGTTGTGGTACACAAATACTAGAAAAAAATTATTCCTCTGTTAGTGACAAAGCAAAACCACAGACTCGTTTCAAAATCTCAGGGTCCTTAATAATCGGTGAGGCATGATATTCCATAGCTGAGATTACTTTCGGCTTATCTTGTTGTTCATCGATTGATACGTATTTTACGCTTCGATAGAAAGCTTCAATTGTCGATGAATTTATTCGAGTTTCTTGATCTTCTTCGATAACTTTGAGACTGATTGGTACGACTGACGGGTGAAGAAGATTACGATTTATTTTAATATTCGGTTTACGACCATCGAATAATCCAATTGATTGAGTTCGTAGGATTAAAGCAATGATTCTGTCAAATTCTGATGAGTCTGAATCATGTGTAATAGCAGAACGAATTTCATACAGGCTATCTGTATTAAAAGCTGGTTGACGTACATAACATTTTGACCATAGGCGATAGACACGTATTTGTCGAAGTGTTTTATTTTTATCATACAACAATGTGTAATGTTCTGACGGAGCTGAAGTTAACTGGCAGTCAAATTCATAATCTATTTTATTTTTCATTGTCGTTGATGTTGATACCTAAATAAACCGTATAGAGGCGAAAAAAACATATCGATATTGTTATTAATATTTATTACGAACGTACTCTTCGAGTGTGTAAGCGATCGGTATCAGCATAATTAAAACGAATGAACTGATCATTTTTTTCTTTGATAAGTTCTTGTAATTTACCAAGTTTCTGAGGCATTGGGTTTTGTTCAACAAAATATATATGACCATAGAAGACCACAAAATAAAGTGGTCCATGTATTGCTTCTTTGTATGGAGATGTTCTTTTCTTGAAAACATCCTGTTTTTCCATGTACGCCGTTACTTTACCTATTGTCGAGTCTCGATCAGGAGTGTTTGTTATTTCTTTACTCAAATTAACTGTGTACATAGTTGTTCCAGTCACAGGAGAAAATTGAACAACATTTGCAGTTGAAGTCATTCCAGTAACAGCTATGAGAAGATCTGGTTGACAAAGATCACTATCTGGGGATGCTATAGATGAGGGGAGAGATGACGCAGTACATCCTGTAGCATGAGAATTCATGAGTATATTAGACTTTTCTTCTCTAAAAAATGACAAAGAATTAGTTCGCGGTAAATATTAAAGCAAAATATGGAGATAAATTTACTCAGGAGTGGTTTTTGCCTTTCTATTTGTTGTAGGTTTTGCTTTTGTTGGTGTTTCTGGTCGACCTGATAGATCTTCCGATAATTTAGGTGTAAAGGTTTTCGCTTCTGATTGTGAATTATCCGCTGCTGCAGGACGTTTACTAGTTTTTTCTGTTTTTTTTCTGAGATAACATTAAAAATCAACGATTGTGAAACTAAAAACTTCAAAAACTCTTACCGGGTGGTTGACGCATTATTATCTTGTGATTCTTTATTATCAGACTCGTTAAATGGTTTTCTCGAAGATCTCCTAGCGTTCGCAGCTTCATGATAGCTCTTTCCATCAAGCCATCTTTTAAATTCTTTATCTTGAATTTCAGCTGCTTTTGGATCTTTAATTGCTCTCACATTTTGCGGAAAAGCCCTTATCACCGGTTTTTCGTGCCATTCATGATATTTACTTTCAGCTCTTATGAAAAGTTTTTCTAAGACACTTGTTGATTCATACGTTGGTTCACCAAATTTTCTCATAAATTTTGGTGAACTTTTACAATATTCTGCTTGAAATGGTCGAATTTCTGTTTTGTCAACAAATTTTCCGGTCTTAGGTGAATCGACAGCAAGTGCAAATAATTCAGCTAATTTTTTACAAGGTTTTGAGAACGAATGTTTTTCGTGTCGATCTGCGACAACAGTATGAGTATTTGCAATCATACCCAAGATGACACCAGCGCTAAATGATTCAACAATATGATTAACAATGATCTCTTGATTAATTAATGAAACTTCTGCTTTTGGTACTCCTTCATATGATAAAGGTTCAACATGCTGTTCTATTCTTAAACGATCACCCCAATAAACCCAGTACTGATCCCCATCTAAATCGGAACCAGCTATTTCATTTGGATGTGGACGATTGCCATTAATTGGAAATACGATCACATCACGCATACATTCTTCTAATTTATCATTACGAACAGCCTGCAGTCGCCGAAAATCACCAGGCCATAGACATGGATTTTTTGTAACGAGGACTGTGCCTAAGAAGAAAGCATTTTGTTTGAAACAATGAATTGGTAAGCGATGGAAAACTGACCAGTAATCACACGAAATTTTCGTTGACCATTATTTGCTGCATCTAATTCGGAGCATTGTATAAAGCACTCACCGTATTTTAGTTCACCAGTTTCGTCTGCTATACCAAATAAATTTCGTCCGTCTTTTGGTGGAATCGGTATACGATTTGTAATTAAATTGTCTTTCCTATCGAGAAATCGTCCAGTGAAATCATTATATTCTATTTTCCTAGTTGAAAAATGAATTGCTTACGATAATGAATAAGAAGCATTTTTCTGTACTGCAATATCGATCGCACTCGGTTGTTGATCTTCAGGAACTTCCAATTGAGTAAATCCTCGATTTTGAAAGGCAATAAATACATCATCAGGATTTCCCAAATCACTTAGAAGACGAATTACTTGATTGTTTAGTGTTAATGTCACTAAATCATTCAATACAATATTTTTTGAAGTAGCAAATGAGACATAGGGCTATAAGTTACTTGGTCGAGCAAATTCACATATTTCCAGATTCCAATCATCACTTGGAAATTTTATCATTGAATCACGTACAGAAATGTAATAGTCATTCATTGTGGATTCTGGATCAATAGCTACCATACCTTTACAACCAGCGACACGTATTTGATATGCTGATGGAATATCGTCCTAAAATCAAGAAGTGATCAATAGAAAGTTTAACTCTCTTAAGCAAACCTTGCTACTTAAGGAAATATTCATTCTTTGGGCTACACGTCCAGCTAAACCCCATGATATTTTACCGATACCATCTGTAAAACAATATTCAATTCCGTCCACACTTTTTCGCTTAATATCGTTCTCTTCATAAACATAAAACAGGTCACCATTTGGACGTATATCATTTTTACTTTCTACCTTAGTCAACCTAATCTACAGAAATAACATCGCATATATACTACTTTCCATATGAAAAAGTGTTTCTTCTAAAAAGGACACTTACACCAATAGGCCATGTGGTGGAGAAGTATTGACCAACACGTGCAATATATGTAGCGATGTTTTTTATTGTATCGAACTTTCCTAGTAGATCATGTGCGTCTTTCATATCTTTCAAATTCCGAGGTAAATCAATGAACCAAAAACCCATTTCCTTCATCTGACCTGTGCTCGCACCCATATATTTGAAAGTTTTATTCAATAATTCAATTCCATTGAGCATTGCGCTTTTCAATCTAGATTTGATATTTGAACTGGAAACACGTAATCGTCGATTATCTTCGTCACGAAAATGTACGAGAAGAAACCGTTCTGCACCACCAAATCTGCATAGAGATTATTCATTTTAACTTCAATGAAAAAAAAATCGAAAAATTAAATCAATTTACTCAGGGTTTCTTAATGCTCGATTTCCAGTTGTAACTTCAAGTGGTTGAAAACTGATTTTTAGTGGTGTTAATGTACAAACAGCAACTTGAAGTCGCTGTTTGTTTTCAACTAACATTACTTGTCCGTTCATATTACCATCTGCTTCGGTAGCTGTTTTTCTCGTTTCATTATAATCTTTGGCAGTTCGCGATAAATCATATCCATGATCGTTCTTTAATTGTTCCAGCGTATAACAACATAAAGTATAACGGTCGTCCACATTCCATCTATTCCAGTTCAGTTCTTGATCAGTCAGTTGTGCCCATTTATCTCGAAATACAAATCCAAGTGAAATAAGCATTTGTAACGCATAACGATCTTGAAACGATGCATTTCTATAACTAAACGGATCAGGTCTTTGATTTTTATTAAACTCTTTTGACCAGTCCGATATTTTGAAAGTAGAAAAATTTATGTGATATCGCTCAGGACGATCGGTTAGAAAATAAGAAAGAAACACCCAAGCTCTTTCTTTTGGTGGTACAAAATATAAAACCAAATCAGAACATTGTGGAATATCTTTGATAAAATCACCATTTCGTTCATCACTACACAGTCTAAAAGAAATGGAAAAAATAATTAAGTAACAAAAAAAACGATGCTCTAAATGGAATAAATCGTACCGAACTGGTGTCCTATTTGAATTTTTAGTAGTTTTATCTTCATCTTTGATTGGTTCCATCCGATAAACATTCGGTGAATATTTAAGTGGAAGTAGAACATAGATTCCATTTTCTGTGTTGTCTTTGTTAACTAAAATATTCTTTTTCTGAATTGAAACAAATGGAATAACAATACGTTTATCGTCGAATTCAATATGCAGGGTATGTGGTATTGATTTTAATAGTATGAACGAAAGTTGAACAATTTGACCATTGAATGAAACATGAGAATAAAATTGATTATATGATCGAAGTGAACCAAACTGACATGATGCAGAAAATGTTGTTTCTTGCTGATGAACATCAGTCGTAGTTGCTACCAATGAACGTGGCCTAAGTGAATCAAGAGGATTCGAAAGAATATTAAACCAAACAGTTGAGTTTTCATTCGGTAGCACTTGTGCAAGTTGATCACGAACTTTATTAGCCTCGTCACGTGTCAATGTAAAGTTAATTGTACCATTTCCATCTTCACCGCAATTACTTATACCTTTCTTATCGAATTTTTTCGGCCGTACAAAACTATTATAGAATGAGTATTTTTAAACATAAAAAAAACAGATAATAATACATACATTTCGATATTAGAAGCAAGTTGTTCTCCAGCTCTCTTCGACGGTATATGTTTAAACTGACAGAATACCGGGTCACTCATATCTGTAAAAAAAACTATTTTATTAAAAAAACTAAACAAAATCAAGTATTGGAGGATGTGAGGATTTTTTATACACGACGCATGAATATCTATGAAGAGGTTTGGAATGTGACGACAAGCGCATTGTTGTAGATGGAAAAAGTTAATTGCGCCCTCTTTATGCAGTGAGTATCCCCACTAGTATGCTTATAAATATAAAGAAAAAGAAAAACATTGATTCGTATATGCTACATCTCGGTTTTTTATGTGACGCACAAAGAAAAAATCCAACACAAACATCGACACTTCGTATGTATTACTACCGTTCTCTTTTTCTTTCCTTTGCTTAACAACACATCATACATACTGCAAAAGAACTGCTCATGTTTTCAATTTTTGCCGAACACAAAAAAAGGAAGAAATCACACGAAAACAATATGGACTACTTAAGCCGTCTCTACCACTATATTTTTTGTATTATAGTTCTCATATTCGAAAAACAAAGCGCACTATAGTTACAAAAATATGTTACAGAGCGTAGTTTAATTTCTTCTATTACTATTACATGCAATTGTGCAACTGGGAAAAAATGTTTTCAAAGATAGCAAACTGTTGTAATATGGTACCTGACGAAGAGAACTATAGTAGGTAAGTTTTTTTTCTTCTATATACCAAATATTTCATTATCGAAGGCCAAAAAAGACGATGATAACAATGAAATACACAAGTTACACAGATATTAAAGTAACATCGAACATCACATCTGTTCGCATCATTCAGAATGAATAGAGTAAATAACAAAAAAACAGCATTGTATATTTCAGAAATAGGCGTTACAGTTGCACACTAAGTTTGTTATGATCGTATATATCTATGATTATAATATTACAACACTATGACCTGCTTCCTTAAAACTTGAATAAATTGTAAGGAATAAATGTTTAAAGAATTAAATATCTATAAGAATCAATATCCTTTACCTAAACCTATAGAAATGAGTGAAGATATAATGTTTTTTTCTTGAGACATATTATCAGTAAACCGCTTTTTTCGTTCAGTCGAACCTTTCCATTTTTCATCTGTCTTTTTCTGAACAGTTTAAGACATTTTTAGATTTTATTTCATTTAAACTTTCCGAATCTAAAAACTCAATGCGGTGTAACTGCGTAGCCACAAAGAGAATTACACAACATCATTCCGCATGAACTCAAAAATGTAATGTCTTCATCTGATACTTACATAGAACGCAGAAAAAGGTTTCTTCTTTTCTCAGTGAAATAGTACGACTGCTTGTGACGTAGAACAAGAACAAAAAAACAAAAATTTCATATACTTGTTTTTTTTTGCGTTCTTTAGAAGCGATCTTGTCAACGTCTTCACACGTTGCATCTGAGAGTTGTTATCCGACGACATGGCTACAAAAGCAGAATCGCTCATTAAACGTACTAACGAAGTTGGACGTGGACATTTTGGGATAGTCCATCGAGGACTTTATAATGGCTCTCAAGAAGTGGCTATTAAAGATATTGCAGCAAAACTATCTGCCGATGCTCTAGTCGAAGCTAATCTCCTGAAAACACTACATCATCCACATATTGTTCGTTTTATTGACGTTATTACCACGGCAAGTCATACATCATTAATCACAGAATATGTCGATGGTGGTTCTCTTTCCGATTACATTGAGAAGACAATACGACAGACGATTATTTATTGGAAAACCGCTCGACAAATAATGCTCGATGTCGCCTATGGAATGAGTTATTTACATGAAAAACGGGTAGTTCATGCTGATCTGAAAAGTTTCAACATCTTGTTGCGACGTAATAAGAGCGCAGTTATTTGCGATTTTGGTCTAGCTAAGACAATAATCAATTCTAAAGCGCAAACAACAGGTGGTATCGCAGGTAAGATCATACGAACTTTTAAATGATAGATTTGCTCTTGCAACTAGCCGCTGAATAGGGAAACTAAATAAAAATTATTTACTCTTAGCTGTTGATACTTATTGATGCTCGTTTTTCTAGGCACTATAAGATGGCTTGCTCCAGAACTTTGCTTTGATCGTCCTGAACGACATTCTTTTCCGTCGGATGTCTGGGCATTTGGATGTATTTTACTCGAACTGATCACAAAGAAGATACCTTGGGAAGTTCAGTATCAAGTAGAAATGGTCCTTCTAGTTACTTTAAGAGAGGCTAGCAGTGCTCATATTTTCCAAAATATTTGTCAAACTCAACGAGCTCCCGAAAAACTTCGTACTGCTCTTTGTCGATGTTGCGCATGGTCCAAAACTGATCGACCTTCTTTTCCAGTTATAGTTAGTGAATTAGCTTCGATCTCTGAAGAGGATCTTCGAAACATTAATGAAGGGGGAGAAGAAGAAAACCCGAAGCCATCAAAGTCATCAAACAACCAAAAATCCGTTACTGTTCGAAAGCACTCAACAAAAGGTACCAGCTCAATTAGTATCCAGAAAGCGCCAGAAACGTTCATGACTACAAATTCGAATGATAATTCAACAAGTAAAGACGAGAACCACCATGCAATTGAGCAGAAATCAAGCATAAACCCGAAGCCACACAAAAAATATCCATCTCAAAGGGAACAAGTATCGACACATGTTGAACAAACGAAGAGTGCTCGGGGACGTCATCCAAAGACTTCGTCATCAAGTGCAAGATCGAAAAACAATTCTGATGGTGTTCATCATGTACAGAGTTTATTCGAGCATGTCGGAATGGGTTGTTTTCCAGAAGCGAACTCTGACCTACTCGAAGTTGCCTTTGGATTACGTCCAACAGGGAAACAACATTGAAAACATTCATCTTTCATCAACTCATCGTCAGAGCATCATGCCTTTGGCGACTGGTTACCTTTCGTGTAATCTCTGATTCATTTTACTAGCTAGTTTTTAATGATGAACAGCACTATTCATAAAACTTAATAATTAAATTATCAGATTATAAGCGTATGCTCTCAAATGAAGCTTGTTTTGCTTGTGAAGAAGAAAACTTACCTAAACTTTTTGCTACTAACATATAAATGGAATAGAGTGAGAGTAACAACTGAATGAAAAATAAAATATGTATAAGACATTATGTTCACTACTTATACGCTAACTGAGAAAAATAAATAAAGTGCGATGTAAGTAGATACAATGTTTATAAGTATTATTTGTAGATGATGAAAAAAGAAGCATGAACTCAATGAATCTTATATAAATCGACTGTTCCTCACTTCAGTCTATCTTGAGAGTGAAAAGTCAACTACCGTAGCTTGAATCGTCAAAAATTTACTCGAAGAATGAGGGTGAGTTTATTACATGCATAGGGCCACTTTTTTAAACCTGGCAACTAGGCGGTTTTGTAGAGATAAATGAGACATCGACGTATATGGTTTCCAGAGTGGACCTGCATCATTTTCTCCTAACGATATGGTCGACGCAGGGTGAAAATCGCGCATTTTTCCAGTTAAGAAACGAGGCGATTTCACCTCTTAGGCGCTCTTCCTTTGAATAGTCAATTCAACTAGGTGTGATGCAAAAATTAGCCTATAATCGGTATAACCGGCGTTACGGCATTCCAGTTTGTCAAATTATAACAGCTATATCCCCCAGTTAATAAATACTAACTTCTTGACATCTTTACTGTATATAGAGACAAACTAGTTCTACTACATCTTGAATAGATAAGCGCTCTGCATAAAATTTGTTTGACCCTGAACAAGCTTGTCAACTGTAGAGACATTCGTTCCTATGAGTATCTATATACCACAGAAGAGAGAGAAAACTGTCTGTTATAGAGTTTCGCCTTTTTCATAGCAAAATAGATTTCAGACTAGAATAAAAGACAAAGACAACGGAAAAAGCATACAAATATCTCTAGTATTAATTCTGAATCATAAACTATGAGTTTTACAGCGATACAGTAAAATTAATTTCTTAACCTTTTTGGCTTCTAAAAATTTTCCAAAAACACTCAACTTTAAATTTTTGAAAAACTAAATAGTACATTTTGTTCAGAATTCAATACTGATCTCAAATGTTACAAAATATATGCATTTTTATGAGTAAGAATAGCCTAGAAACACTCGATAGTCTTAAAATAGTAGTTTATGAAGATACCAACAAAATTCCAAAGCGAAGTATTTTTTTAAAAATTACATGAAAATTCCAATTTATATCGAATGAAAGTGATAGATCTTTCCAACAGCTATATGACTGAGGCTTTTAAAATATTGATAATCAATGCGAGCTAACAGGACACATTAGAAGCTGATTTTGTTACGGAATTTCTTGAAAAATGAGTATAGTTTTTCAATCGATGCGCGAACTATCTGATAATTAGAATTTTCTATTAAGGCCACGTTCTTTCCAGAGCAAGTCAAATTGCATCTATTAGTACTAAATTTGAATCAATGAAATCTATTTATCAGTACCTAATAACAATTTCTTTGTAGTGTCCTAAATATCTTAATTTACTAGCATGTAGTTGAAGAAGAAAAGAACTTTAGCCCTAAGGTCATTGACGTATTGATACAAACATGTATGATCTTCATTAATTATCGAATACTTACTATGATACAAGCGAAGATGCATCTTTGTGAAATTAATAATCGATATAAAAATTGATATTATCATGAAATTATCCAGTGAATACATTTTACAATGTTATCAGTGCGAATTTTTAGACTATATTAAAATTATTCAATAAATCATATAAAATAGGTATCTCAAATAAAAGAATATATATTGGAATCTATCATACATTTTTATGTTTTATGATTATTTTCTTTTATTTTAGCTACTACTGCCAACAAATGTAATATTTAACAATCGACTTGAAAATCATTGTAGTCTAAAGCAACTATACTTCAAATATATCAAACAAAACGTCAGCATAGTCAATTACAAATAAATGTGATTTTTTTATAATGAATAATGAAAAATGTAATAATTCTTTGTGTTAATCGTACCTGGAAGCATATTATCATCAGATTGTAAAACGTATCTTCTTGTCGAAGATTTTTTTCAAAAACAAATGCCCCAGATTAAATGGATTTCTTCATACCTTTTCTTTGAATGTTTTGTTCATAGTTTGATTCTTGTCTGAATTTTTTCTCATAAGATAGTTCATCGGATTCTTTCAAAGACCGAATGACTTATCACTTCTTCTAGTTAATATGATATAAAACTTCGTTCTAATATAATGTGTTCTATGTTTTCAAGCATTCCCTTTCAAATTAATTGCAGAAAAAGAGATTTGAATAAACGTGTCCATTATTGATATGTAGAATATACTCCTTCAAGTATTGTGGTAAACTTCTGAAGATGTGACAGAAAATCAATTTTAAAGGTAATGAAGTGAAAAGGAAAAAATGATTTTCCATTTGTTAAATCGAACATCAGAGGCATTCTTCTGCACCACACTGAGCTCTCTTTTTTTTTAGCTAATCCTGCGTTTGTGTAGCCAATGTTCAAAAATACATCAGCCAACTCAAACATCATCAATACAGAAAATACTATAAAACTTCTTTAATTTTTGGCTCTAAAGTGTTCTGAGTATCTTTATATAAATTTATTTGTTTTCATAACAACGACAGAAATGCTGATGATCACGATTACGAAAATTGCGAAAACGATGTGCAAAAAATTGATCACCAAATCGATAAACATGATAATGATAACAACATGTTGCAGAGTAGTGATCATCTAGCTTGCGCATGAATAAGTAATGGTATTCAGTTGATTAGGTGATAAAAGAACACATAATGGATGAATTCATATAACCTTCAAGACGTTGCCAATCACAAGATTTATCTACTGAATTCAATTTAAGAGAAAGATCTTTAGATGAAAAGTGTATTGATGATCACATACCAAATGAATAATCATCATTCCCATTTTGTTCATTTATTTAACGTACTTTGAATTTCATTTAGTCAAATAAATAATAGATAAAAGTTAGCGCAGTAAATGAAACTTCATGTTTCGATCGCTTCATTTGACTAGTTGACTCGTTACAAAGTAAAAGCTATGATTCGATGATGTAATTTCAAGTTATATGGACCAATGAATGACTTTTATTGTATGTATTATGTTCGATTTCACTGATACATTCGTGTTTGCTTATTACTTTGAAACAAAAATTCGAATTTAATAAGATGAACAACAACCACATGGTATATAAAAATCTCTGATAACATCTATGTTTATTTGTGTCGCATATTCCCAGATAATGCTAGTGAATTTATGAACTAAACGAAAATCGCATGGAAAAAGAATAGATATTTTCAAATACATTTGTTCTCTTACTCTCTTCGCTTGAAACTTAACACCCAATTTTACTAAGCTATAATAGACGATCATCATGAATGAATGATCACGAATACCATTACGATTTGGTTCATCTATGTAGTATATTTTGATCAAAAGATTTCCGTTAGTAAAGTTAATTACAAATCATCTTGTTAATGAACGATAACAATAACAACTCTGTACAATACTGTAGTTTCGTCAAAAAGACAAGTTAAAATTACTTGAGTAATACACGATATTGCAGTACATGAACAACTACTTGCCAATCAAGGTTCTGTTCATCTATTTCCCATATTTTCGCACGTAAGACTCGGTTCAGTTCGTTAAATCAAGACCATTTCATAAACGAATGCTCGTGACGACATTTCTCACAGTTCTAATCACATACACTTCTCACCTGCAACGGGCGACTTCGTCTTGATTAATCGATGAAAAATGATCTGGTAAATGAATGCATCTAACAAATCGAACAAGAATTCTATTGCACTATTCTGTTGTCTGCAAAGAAAGAGTCTCGAGATAGTAAACTGGTCGCTGATCATGTACAAATGGAATAGGTCAAAGGGCGACCTCCGCAAATAAGTCCCGATTTATGTGATTGCCGTTGTTGCTCTTGAGATCCTGAAAGAAAGATAGAGATATTTAGGAAGAAACTTTATTGCAAATATCTTCTCATATGTATATTTTACCCTCAGTTTGCGATGATGCTTTCATAATAGCTATAGCCGATGGTAGTTGTTCATCATTATCTTCACTTATTTCCATTAAATGTATAATCTTGATACTGTCTGAATAATCCAATGAATCTGATACTACACGTAATTCAGTACCAGGCATTAGTAACACTTCACCTTCATCAGGATGTTCTGTATAGCCAGAAATATATTTTCCATGTATAGCTTCAATCAAGATCAGAGTTATTTTTGATTCAGAAGGTAAATGGTTTGCAACAGTATCCATTGATAATGAGCATGACGTCACAGTCCACCATGTAAACTCTTCACCTTTCTTGAAATCTCGATCAACATCGTTAATTACTGCTCGCCAAACATTTTTTCTAACGGTAGGTAATTTAGCGACAGCCGTATCAAGCAGTTTTAGGTAAGGAAACCAAGGTTTCACACTAGAACGATCGCTCGATCGCAGTGTTTGATTCAGCATTCTGTTCAAACTATTGACGTTTTCTTCCGTTGCGTATAAAAACAGAGCTGCTGATTCATCATGAGTAAGGCCATGCTCTGATGGAAAATGACAATTGTTTTTGGCCGTTTCAATATATTTCTGTAGTTCGTTCATACGAGATCTAAGGAACTTCAGGGCCTCTTCGAGTGGTATGAGTTTCTCGTTCCAATAACCACATACAGGCGAAAGTTTTTCTTCATAAAACTTGATATCAACAAATCGATTAGTCGTGTGTTGTGTATATTCCATTTTGAATAAGTGGATTAATACTGAGATGTCTACAGTCTAATTCTCGAAAATATCGTTACGCTTATGTCGACAAAACTGATGATGTTAGGTAACTAAAACTTGATGTGATCATCATGAATATGTTTTCTTTTTGCTTGGTGTAAGGCGAGAAGAGAAAGATTGCCACGGATGACAGAGCACACATATTTCGTTCGTTCGATCGGTCGAACATTTATTAATAAAATATTCCCATCAATATTAACTTTAATTTCCACGTGTCACGTATTGTGACTCACAATTAGTATGTCGCTTACTTTCCCATCTACTCTTAGATGTACGATTATTCATGAATTAACATGATAGCTGATAGAAAATCATTGCAGACAACTTATGAAAGGCAAATAGTATTTGATAATAAAGAAAATGCATTGTAAATAAGAGGGATTTGAATGAATTTCAAAAAGTATGTGCATTGATTACACAGAACTAACATAGCTAAGTTCTTTTATTCGTCTTTGAAAAACTTGAAAAAAAGATTCAAGTGTACGCCTTTTTACTTTCTTAATATAACTTCCATGTGACTTTCTTACAAGCAAAATTTATTCAAAATAATCTAAACTTTTCGTTTTACTAGATTTTCATTCAACAGAAAAAAAACACGCAGAAATAATGAACCTGTTGATGCGTGAACATATAAAATGATGTAATTGTATTTGTATATGCTACATAATTACCAACGTCAAGAATAAAGCTTTCGATTTGAGTACGTTGTGAACTTTTAGTTTCACCAACAGTAACATAGCATATGAATAAATTCTTTGAATTGCTATTGGTAATGATAAGATTTGACATAACAAAACGTGAGCCATAAGCATTAGAGTTAGCTGAAAATCTTTTACATTAGCTACACACGTTATTAGTTGATGGTGAACATTGCTAATCGTCCTTAATCCAAATAAAAGTATGGATTATAATGGGAAAAGACTATAAAACCCGGCTCCATATGGGAAAAAATGGTAATGATAACGTGACCGACTCCAACGGATGTAAAAGGCTATGGGGCGTTATTATTATATGTATTGCAAAGTTGGGATTTTGGTGTGCGAACAACGCCATCGATATTTTCATCAAAACAATAAAATACTTCAATGCAAATGAAACATAATGCAATCGGTATGCCAAACACCGTCCGTTGAGACATTTTCAATTGATTAAATGTACATATATGTCAGCGTCCAATCTCGGATCTAGGTCAATGTAAGATACAGATATTTGTTTCTATAGAATAAAACCATAGGTAATGGAAAAAAAATGAAATTTCGATTCCTACAATATAGAGTATTCAGTCAAGGAAATAAAAAGACAATTGCAATGAATTTCAGAACGAAAGATGTGCATGTAAGTCTTGCAATAATTAGTTTTTACTTTTCTTGATTTACACAACGAGAACCACCCTTGTGAATGTTTGTCGACCAAAATACATTGATATTTTTACAAGCACATTGCTTGGTTTTACACTCAGGTTTGCATGCGCAGGTTACTCCACTTGCAGCGCTACGAACAAAGTTTTGATACAGTAATTATCGAAACTTCATTCAATTTGTTGATTTTCAAAGCAGCCATTTTCTCAGATACAATTGGTAATTTAACTAATGGACTAGTTCGAAGATAGATCTTGTAGATACTCACTATGTACTTTGATTCATTTATTAACATTTGATAGATAAGATGCTGTTGCTCGCTAGCGAATGGGCGCGTTAGGTGAGTTAGCTAATGTTGTATCATCGTTTTCATTCACTTGTTCAGCTACATGATTCGTTTCAATATCCATTGCCTCATATGAATACTTCGGATTGATGCATTCAATTTCAGTAACGTTCGGTGTTGCTGAGTGTGTTAAACCTTTGAGTTTCGACGACGCATATACAGGATTTCCAAAAATATTTTCCAGTGGGGTACAGCCCTAATGACTAGTCATACGAACTATCGAAGATTCAAGGGATTTCCATCTAGTAAAACGCTATTCCGAAGGTAAAATTGTAAGTGAAAACAGTTAAGGAGTGATGGATATGTCAAACCAAGGTTTATTTTTTTTATTAAGCTCGTATACATAATCAATAATCTGTATGCCGACCGTTAGCTTGTCAGATAGCCTGTAATCGAGATGGGTAGGAACATAATAGATTTTCAAAAAGTTCAGTGTTTGTTTCCATACTTTCTAAGGCGTCGTATATATGATTTTTCAATCTGGTTTCACAGTAACGACCATGTACGGTCTCAGATAACATTTTTGTCTTGACTTCATCCGTCACTATTAATTCAATGTGTCCAGCTGTATTAAGATCAGGGTCGTATTTGCTTTCACGCATCGGGGACTTTATCGTGAACAAACGTTACTTGGTCCATATCAACAACCTTTCTTCATTTTTGAGGAAACGAAAGACGTATCGGATGGAAATATTGACCTGTCCAGGATTCTCCTCTATCTTTGATCATCCAAGGCAATTTTTGCGGTGAAAATAATAAGTATACTGACGCATGCTTGGTTTTGTACCGTTTCGCGCTATCGTTCATCCTCTTCAATATCTTCGACAGATTTAGCCCAAATTCTGTCACTGTGATGGGTTGACTTCCGAACGCTCCAAACGAAAAATTTATCAAATGGTACAAGGTGTAGGAAGTCTTCTTGAATACAGTTCTTCAACTAGTCGCATAGCCATAAACGATTGGAAATATGAGTTACTATCTTTAATTGTCTTCGAATAATGTGAAAAGGTTTCAATTCCATCCTGTGCCAGTAGTTATCGATCGTGCTTCGCATAATATATTTATTTTCCCTCTGTGCAATTTCTCTTGCCATAACAGAGGAACTTCTTTTTTGCTTGCCACTCGCATTGAGAATGACCAGCTAAGCAACGCACTTTATTCGATCAACGATCCTTTGTTGTTCATTGTAGTAAGTTCCAACTAAATTACAAATCTCTCACGGTCGTCATTAAGAGGTGCGGATGAAAGACACGTTATTCATTTACATTCCAAGCAGAATCACTTTGTTCAGATAGAAATTACGGTTTTTTTTAATAACTTCAGTAGTGTATTGGATAACGGCAGTGCAAAAAAACAGCAAAAATAAGAATTCGATTCGATAGGATCGTGATTGACGAGTATTTCTTCGCTCTTTGTGTGATAAGAATGCTATTTATACGTGCTTCAGAAGAGAACGAAAAGAAATGAATGAATCATTGTCTTAAACATTCCGACAATGTGTTCGGAAGATATTTTCTCAATTACCTACCAGTATTACAATGATATACATTCTCTTTTATACTGTATTAATTTCCATTTCAGAGTTCAAATAATCGTAACTGTACAATTTTTGAAACTTTCCTTAGTTCTTCTATTAGAGAGGATCCATATATACACCTTAACTTCGTTTTTAACGGGCTCTCCATTGGTATAAAATTCATTGTTCGTATGGCCAGTCATTACGGCTGTATCCCCTGGAAAACATTTTTGGCAACCCTGAAGCTCAATACACTCTTGATCACGCGAAAAATATAATTTGAAAAGTCCGTTTTTTATTAATATGTTGGGGTTTTAAACTGTCGAGTGAGTTTAAAATAGCACTTGGAGAGAGACTGATGTTAATAATGTGTATCTGGGAGAAGTTACAACAAGAAGAAAATAGCGAAGCAACTCAATGCAACAATATTTAATTACGAAGTACGAAAAGTACCAAGCTCTGCGCTAAGTATCCAATCACTGCTTTCCAGCAACCCTTTTTTTTTTAGTGTATAACAATATTGGATGTAAAGTGAAGGATTCTGATTGTTCTATGGGTCGATGGGCTAGACAAAATGTCCACCAGAACACTACCATTCTCCAAAAACGATAATTTTTCATTTCAGTCACTTTTCACATATATCTTGAGAACTCAGCATCTCTGGAACAAGGGCGCTAAAGCACGAATCATATTCAAGATTTTTATATTTCATCGAGACCTATCTATTCCCAAAAAATGGGATCTAAACGGCTTGAACATCTAAATATGTTTTCTCGTGAGTGACAGCAGTACTCGATCATCGACAGGTCAAGACGAGTGCATGACTAATATTTTACACTAGTTTTACATGATATGGGAATATTTTTTCGCGTTTTTCTCCCACAAACGGTAATTACAGAACGCAATCAACATTAATAAAGCATCACAACTAATTTCTCTCTATACGAGCTACAAACAAAACTTGATTGCATCTTGATGGAGTCCAAGATAGCGCTTCATAGACCTGTTACCTTTGGTTATGCATATATTTTTCGATTACTAAACGTATTAGGGGCGCTCGGATATATCACAATGATGTATGAATATTGCATGGCCCTTCTGGTCTAGCTGGCATAGAGCATCTGTCTCAAATAGCTTTATTTTCTTCCTATGTGGGTGAATACTGAGTCGATGAATAATTGCGCTGATAATTACTTCTTATAGGTGTTCCAAGACAATATTAACCATTCATTAAACAAGCAGGTATACCTACTAGCTATAGCGTAACTAACATGCATACATGGTTTTATTTACGGTACAGTACACTATCCATTATATTCACCTTAGTGATTATCAGAAATATATATTCAATGTTTTTCTTTTTTTTTCTTATCACAATTTTCACCTTATATCTTGTTTTTAGCATTTGATGGATGCAGTTCTTGTTTATTTAGGTATTGGTGTATGACACATTCTGTGAATAAAGCGCAAAAATAACATTGATGTCCCCACTGTGTTTGCTTTGTTATACTTGGAAATTTATTTGTTCGTGTTTTTTATAGAACAATGTGTAATATACGATTCATTCTTTTGGCAATATTCATCCCATGGACTTTATCGGTTTTTGTTGCCTTTATATTTAAGCTTGTGTCAAATCAGGATGACAATCTGACTGCTCTGATTGGTTTCACCGACGATGCAGGTACACCGAAAAAGACTAGTATTAGCCACTTAATTTTGAAACAATATATCTCAGAATAACCATTCCGAAGCGGTCCAACATTTTCTTTGTACTTGTTTAATTTAACCGAGTTTAGATGAACTCGAAATCTATACAAACTACAGCTTCTCTTCTTTCTTCGTTTTTGTAGCTTCAGCTATTTTCTATCTTAATTACACGACGAACGTTGAAGTCAATGGTTCGATGGATGTTACTGACTCGACAAATCTGGCAGAAGAGGTAAGCAGTTATAGATGCAATCGACTAATTGATGAAATTCTCTCTTCAAAGATCGCCAAAAAATATAGCATATCTCACAATATGCTACGGGTTTTATCAGCAAGATTTGTTCAAACTCTAGTTTTAACTCGACGAAAGCGACAAATGTACGTACTACTTATGTTATCCGTTTTTCTTCTCAACAGACTTCATCGTTTCCGAATATCTTTACCCTAGTGTACAAAATCAATATTTTCTTTCTTTGTATGATTGATAATGACGGCACATACGAGAGCTAGATATTGCCATACATAAGTACCTAAAACACAATAGTCGTATACGAACAATGTTGTATCCATAATCACTCACTCTTTCTAAACTTATAGTTTTCTCTGTTCTTTCGCCTCACTGAGGACTCTTCGAGTTATTCTCAATACAATCCATGATACGCTTTAATTAAGGCAAATGGAAACTCGACAAAACTTACCGTTTTTCTGTCGTCTTTGTTAGAAATTCTGATAAATGCTTAATCAAACTTTGTGCATTTCTTGTAGTACATCGTCCTACAATATCACTAACAGTAAAAGTCCAGCAGTCTTTTTAATTATACTTGAAGTGGTATATCCATCTACATGTAAAACGGACAAGCCATGCAAAGATCATTTCAGCACTCTTGTCTATAAAACGATTCAATCGACTTCGCAGCAGTTTACTTATCACCTAACATTCAACAATCAGACAGAATTGAATGTTGAAGTACTTTCCTTAACCATAAATATGGTTAGAAATGCAACGAGCACGATAGTCACAACATCATCAACGACCACGACAACAACAACAATGACGGCAGCGACCACCACAACAACCATCTCGACGACATCAACTACTACAACAACGACCACGACGATGACAACAACCTCAACAATAACAACGACGACGACAACGACAACCACCACCACTACGACGCCGACGACGACGACAGCAACAATCACGACACCGACAACAACCTCAACAACTTCAACGACAACAACCACTACCACTACGACGACGACGACGACAGCAACAATCACGACACCGATAACAACCTCAACAATAACAACGACGACAACAACAACCACCACCACCGCTACTACGACACCGACAACAGCCTCAACAATAACAACGACGACAACAACAACCACCACCACCGCTACTACGACACCGACAACAACCTCAACAATAACAACGACGACAACAACAACCACCACCACCGCTACTACGACACCGACGACAACAACAACCACCACCACCGCTACTACGACACCGACGACAACAACAACCACCACCACCGCTACTACGACACCGACAACAACCTCAACAACTTCAACGACAACAACCACTACCACTACGACACCGACAACAGCCACTACCACTACGACGACGACGACGACAGCAACAATCACGACACCGATAACAACCTCAACAATAACAACGACGACATCAACCACCACAACAACGCCCACGACGACGACAACAACTTCAACGACAACAAACACTACCCCTACGACGCCGACAACAAGCACAACAATAACAACTATTACTACAACGACGTCTTCCACTACTACAGCCGTAACTAGTAAGTAACATGCTAGGTGAGGATTGATATACTTTCTAGGAAACTCCATTAGGAATAAATAAAATTTACCTGGAAGTGAGAATTCGAGAAATGTTCTCAAAATTCTTACTTCCTGACCTGGCATTGTAAGACTAGCGTTATGGACGGCATAGTGAGGAGAATAAGATGAAAAGATAAGAAAAGAAAAGAGAAAATCTGAGCGAGATTTTTATTGACGGATATTATTTTAATTGATAGTATGTTCGAACCTGTTCATTAGCCAAAAAACATATGCAGTCGGGAATGGTCCAATGACAATAGCAGTTACCGATGTAAATAACGACCATTTTGCCGACATTATCGCATCAAATTTTGATTCCAATACTGTCAGTGTTCTTTTTAATCTACACAATGGAACATTTCAAAATCAAACAACATTTGCAGTTATTACCAATCCAAATGGAGTATCAGTAGCTGACTTAAATAATGACAATTATCCTGAGATAGTTACTTCAAATTCGAATTCAGCTGATGTTGCTGTTCTTTTCAATACTGGTAATGGAACATTTGTAAATCGGACGACTTATTCAGCTGGTGGCTATCCGTGGTCAGTCAAATTGGCAGATATAAACAATGATAATATGCTAGACATTATTGTTCCAAGTACAAGCTTAAATTCTGTTGGTGTTTTGTTCAATGCAGGAGATGGTACTTTTCTTGCCCGAACGAATTATGCTGTTGGTACTACTCCATATTCAATATCAGTTGCAGATGTTAATAATGACAATAAAAAGGATATTGTTGCTGCAAACTATGGTTCTAATACTGTTTCTGTTCTTCTTAATGCTGGGAACGGTACGTTCTTTACTCAACAAGTTTATGGAGTCGGTTCTGCACCACGTCGGGTAGCCTTGGGAGATTTAAATGGTGATAATCATACAGATATTGTTACTACCAGTTTAAGCGGAGCTAGTGTGAGTGTTCTTCTTAATGCTGGTAATGGCACGTTTCTCACTTATGTCACTTATGCAGTTGGTTCGAATCCATGGGGAGTAGCTATAGGTGACGTTACGAATGATAATAAACCTGATATTATTACTGCAAATCAAGGCAGTAACAGTGTTAGTATTCTTCGTAATGTTGGAAATGGTACGTTTGTAAATCAAATTGTTTGCACAGTTGGTTCTGGTCCATGGACAGTGGAAGTTGCATATGTTAATAATGACAACCAACTTGATATTGTTGTTGTCAACAAAGGTGATAATAATGTTGGCGTTCTACTTCATGCATAAAACTGCATTGACTCATCTCTTATTTTTCTGTTGAAGGAAAGATATAAAATCTACTTTTTTATCTGTATGCGACATACATGTTCACATGTTTAGAAACAATTCGAATTTTCTTTAAAATATTTATGAATAAAATATTTTTTCCTTTTGAAAACGAATATGATCGTTCTCTTTCAAGATTAATGTATTAATTTAGTTAACACTTCAGATAAGATTGTTGAAAAGTAATTTGTTTGCAAGTCCAAATTTGAATTAAAACGCAGTAAAGAAATACGTAAGAGAAAGTTATGTAACGAATCTACATGATTTATAACAATATATCAGAGGAAAATCAGCAACTTAAATTGTAGTTTGGGAATATACTACAGAAGGAAAGTGGGCAATGAGAGGAGGTTTGTCTGCGCTCACATATAAAATGAATATTTATTTTTTCACAACACAAGAACCATTTTCAAAACATCGGCAGTTCACATTTTAATGATTCGTCAAACTTAACTTTACTTATTCATTGCATCTGTCTAGAATTGATTCTACCAGAACGTAGACAACGTTAACAAGAAGAAAACATATATGCTTACTCTCAAAAGCAATTCATTATACTCATCAGCGCAAGTCTTTCTGAGTACTCGTTAAATATATTTATTCATTCATTCAAATTATTCAAGAATATCGAAACCAGGAAAAATGTTCACCTTTGATCATCTTTTGAGAAAAAAGTTACTAGACACAAATTCTTCTAAAAGTATTTATTATTGAACCATGTTCTATCCGGGTCAATGTTGTTGTTCTAATATCAGTTTCATTACTATTATAATTAGTAACCAAACATGTTACACAGTACCGATGATGTTCCTTAGAATGAGACTGTAGATGTCGTTCTTATGATTCACAAGCACGTTTTGCTCCGTTTCTGCCTTGCCAGAATATATGTGTACAAAATTTATTGACTTTATATTTTTTTATTCAGGAAACAAAATGAAATTGTAAATATTGAACACAGAACTGATAATAAGTTATTTGTGTTCTTTCCGTTGTTCACGCAGATGTTCTAAATAAGTTTGACTTCTTTGGGCTTCTGCTCGTCGTCGAGCACTTCCAATAATGATCACTACAGCAGAGAAAAGATTAGCAATAAATGGGTCAAGAAGATGAATAAATAAAATTTGTAGTATTATAATCCTGAACTGATTGAGAATACAAGGTGGTACACCACCTATATAAACCTGTCACGACTATTTCGTATATATCTTTGAATTCACCGATTGACTTTTCTTCCTTGATTTTATGTACAAAGATTCGCCGATAAAGCGGTTCATGAATAATTGTGATCATAATGCAAAATGGTAGAAGAAATAGGATCCATCAAGCTAGACGTTTACTTTTATCTATATTAAAGCTGACTCCTTGATAAACAGAAACAGCATGTTCGATCGCGACACATGCGTTTAGCCAAGCATCCCAATAGAAGAAAAACTTAAGAATACTCTCAATCGATCTACAAGCACCTCGAAGAACCGTTAAATGGACATCTGTGATCATTTGTGCAGCAACTACGAACCAAACTTTAATTGTAAGCATAGTAATCGTCAGAAGAGAAGTGATTGACAAAGCAAATAGATACAAACCACATCTAACTTGCTGTAAACCTTGATTTCGAAAAGTGACAATGGAGCAAACGCTACTCACAATGCCCGCAACAAATATAATCGTTGCTAACACAACGCTCATTTTGACAGACAATAGTTGGTCATTCATCGTCACGTTTCGAGTGATCTGTAGTCGTAAAATATCATCAAGAGTTAATCCAATACTCTTTAATTGAAGATTACACGAACCACCGACATGACAATAAGTCGAATTATCAACTACTTAGGGCAATCCAAAAGTAGTGAGCCAGGTGTCTTATTCCATGAAACCAAGGTCTATAAAAATTTCTTTTTCTACTAACAGATAGAGCGTCTTTCGCTCTATCCTCCCATGCTATTTGGTCTACTCCAACTAAGATTATTATAACAAA